AGAAAGCATCTAAATATATTTTTTAAATTGAAAACTAAATAATTACACAGTATAAATCACCTTTCTATGCCTCCAAAACGAAAATTACAGTTTCCTTCTCCATGTTTCCTTATATAACACTCATCTAGCTTGGCTTCTCTGCCATACCCCAATCACCACTATTTAGCTATGAATGCATGAATCTCACATTTTTATTCTAAATTCGAGTTCACTCATCATATCTAATGCCCTCGAAGCAATCTCAAATTACTGTTATTACACGGGTCACTAGAAACCAGAGGCACCCATATAAATTTTAAAAGAAAGAGGAAAAAAAAAATCCCACACAATTAGATGCTGGCTAACAGTTTAATCAATTTGATTTTATCACTAAATCCAGTTCTTCCTCTTGAGCTGTCAGCGCACAAGATAAGCAGAGTGTCAGGGCTTGAGCCAGCGGTGTAGAAGGAGTGTGTCCTTCGCCAGCCGGGTGACAGCGGCGTGGGTGATGCTGGCACTGCAGGGGACAGAGAGTCGTTCAGCCACTCCACCCTCATCCAGGGCACAATCTTTCTATTTCATTAATTTTTCATGGAATTTCATTTCACAACAAGCAGGCGTCTGCCATCCATCTGCTCTACTTATTCTGTCTCTTTTGCCAACTTTTATTTGCATTTCACAATGTTTAGCAACCTGCTCCTTTCCCACTACCTTCCCGTGATTCATCACTTCCCGTTTAGAGAGCTACCTTGTGTGGGTGCTCTCAACATTTATTTTCAATTTTCTAAAACTCTGTAACCAGTCCCCCTGGAATACTATCTAAATGTGAAGAGTTAACGTGTTTTACTGTCAAATGCCTGAAAAAAGGGCATATTCCATTGCCAATGCTCAAATTCAACTGAACTGACTTACTCAGTGATGCTTTATAAGCATTGCAAAGAGTTCCCCCCAAGTTCCTTTCTCTTTCTGGTTTATGAATGATTGATACACCTCACTTAAAACTCCATCCTTCAATTTATCTTATGGAAATGGCTGAATTTGTATATGTTCTCAATCTGTTTCCAAATAGGTTTGTCTTGAAAGAGACTTTAAGAAAAAATTCCAAAAAACCTCAGTCATTTTACATATTATATGCAGTAATAAGTAGGATAATAGAAATATGTTATTTACAAAATGCTTCATGCCAGTGAATAACTTTGGGGGGGATACACTTATAAAAGGTAGAAAACCCCAGCTGTGACAAACAGAATATGTGCACTAGTTTGAGTAAAGTAGTAAATGAAAAGATATTTATGAGATTCCTCAAACATATTATCCTGACATTATCCCATGGCTCAGAGATTGATCAATTTTTAAGCTATTTGTTTTAATGTACTACATTGTTTTTGATGTGTTTTGTTAAACTACCTGATTGAGCTGATACTACTAATAAGGAAAAAAAAAAAACCTTCAGCCTTTGCATTTATTATTTGATTTAAAATGTTTACTTTTATAATAACCGTACTTAGTTGTTTTCTAATACAAATAGATATTTTCTTATATAACCACATAACAGATTTGGTTGGGCAAAATCACCTTGCAAAATTCTACTAAGAATTACAAAAAAGAAAAATAAAAAGCATTATCCCATATTCTCAGTGAGCAGTGAAGTCTATTGGCATTTAGAGATGGCAGGTAATAGTCCCTACAAATTGTACGTGCTACTATTATTTTCTAAAAGCCTCCAAATGAAATAGAAGCAAGATAAATTGATGTCTTTCACATGTTATGTAGGATGTGTACATTGCTTTGCCATGTATGTAAACATAAGATATTCCCAGTCTTTCTTATACTTTTTTTTAAATTTTTTATTGTTGGTTGTTCAAAACATTACATAGTTTTATACTTTTTTTTGATTGCTTAACTTTGTTCCAAATTTTTTTAAAAATGGCATTTCTCATTTCTCTAGAAAATTAAAAATACAAATCTTTTGCAAATAATTTCTAAGAAAAAATTCCAACTAAAAAATGTCACAAGGAGAAAATGCAAAAGTGCACAGCTCTATGTCCGATAAAACAACAAAGTGGGACTGGCAGGTGGGGAGATTTATTCTGAGAATTTTCTTCAAAGTTTATCTGAGAAAGAAATGCAGGTTTCTGCCAATGAATCCCCAAAAGTGACATTCTGCGATGAAGTTCTTCCCCTTACTACCTTTTTTTCCTTTCCTATTTTTTTTTTTTTTGACTTTTGAAGATACATACTAGTTCCTGTGTAGTGCAGTGACTAAAAACTACCTTGTACGGGGAAATGCTTCATTTCCAGAATGATGAGGGATTGTAATTAACAATAATGAAGGTGTGGTTTCATTCCCACACTTCAGCTGTGGCTAGAGTGTTTCGTTCAGAGTCTGCAAATAGATCTGACAATAGAAGGCATCTCATATCAAAGCCACTCAGAGTAGAGGTAGAGAAAATAAAGAGCATCTCATGACACCGGGAAACTAAATGCTAGGATGCATCTTAAAAAATGACTCTTGTCCATTAGAATAGGTGAAAATATACATTTCATAGGCCAAAGGTCAACATTTATCTAACTGTATTATTCACTTATGAAAAGCATACTTTGTACTTACAGTCAGCATCTTCAGTTAGTACAACCTTACTAGAATTTTTTAACAGTCATCCATGAACTTGGGGAATTTAAATTGTAACCAAGACAGAGTTTAATTATTAGATAAGCTTAAAAAAAGAGGCTATTTGGTTCAGGGACAGTGAAGACGCATGACTATTAAGACAAGTTTAAGCTCACCATTGTTCCTCGAGAACAGAAAAACAGGCATCTGTAATAACTAGGAACCGCATATAAATTTGTGGTATGTTCTCAGAAAGATGTAAATACTTATTTAATGTGTCCCATAGTTTGTTATGCTATTTTTTTTAATTTGATCCTTGTACATTTGCAATTGTTAACTCCCCCCCCCCCCCTGCAAAGTGACTACTTAGCAATCTGACTTTCCAGCCATGATAGCTGTCAGTAGGTACCAGAGGAAAGGCAGCCCCATACACGTCTCCTCATAACATGAATTGGTATACTAAGCCTGATAACCCTTCCCCCTTCAACATTTGGCTGTAAAAAGTAAGATACTTGGTCTTGTCAAAATTACTAAGGCAAAGAGCTTTTTTGCTGTAAAAATTCTATTTTTAATTTTTGCAGTTAGGTTTATAGCAAATGAAGTCTTCCCTCAGGTTTCTTCTCTTTTTTTTCCCCCCCACGATGAATGTGAATGCTTTCTAAGTTAGTATGTCTGACATTTAATGGTAAGGCAAATAAATTTGAAGAAAGGTAACAATTTTCATTCAGCTTACATTTTTTATAGGTTGCATTACTGGGAAATATTACTCTAGATTCTTGAATATTAAATATCTAAATGGACTAAATAAAAAATACTGGGAAGCATGAACAAGTGTAAAGATTATGTTTCTTTTTATCTGTGTTCAAAGTTATATTCATTATGCAATCCTGTCACGTTCTAAATATCACTCTTTGTTAGCATTATCTTTAAAAGACCTTAACAAGTCAGTTTCAAAATATTTTCAAATAACAATATGAATAGCAAGCATACATTTTAGTAACTTAAGAGTTAAACTTATAATTACAAAATCACCCCTAAAACTGCAGCCTCTGAAGCATTTTAAGGAATTCATCAGGCTGTATTTACTCCCAGTTGCCCTGATGTGTGATCATAATTAATGACTGTTTTCTATTGACATTTATGTCTTCAAACTGACTGGCTAATTTCTACAATTGGAAGAAGTAATCAAGAACTTAGGGACTGTTGGAGATCAGTTAGGAAACAATCTGACAGAAACTTATCTTAAGCCATTACAAAGATGAAAATTCTCCAGGGAGGATGTAGGATCACAACTACATTTAACAATGTGTTCTGCCATAGAAAACTGGAAAATCTGATACATTTGAGTTGTATCTTTCCAGCTGTTCATTATAGCTTTATATTCACTATTGTAAAAAAAAAATCAACACATTTTAAATAATAAGACCTGAACTTTCTCCTACAATTGCAAACTCATAATAAGAAACTAACAATAATACAAGTTCCTTCCTGAGAAACAAGGGGCAACATTAGAATGCTCTTTGAATCCTTCTGTGGAATGGACTCAGTCTAAGATGGCATTTTAGGACATTGCCTCTAATATTGGAGCAATCGCTAATTTTATACAAAATTAGCCTTTGCATGAAAGCCCTCGGCTTCTGATGACACTGACTAACTTCAGTACAGCCGATCTCCAAGAATATCAGTAACAAGGCACAGCATGACAGATTGTCAGCAGCAACCTGTCACCCAGTTGCCTTTTCTATTTTTTTTTTTCTTTTTCTGGTGCTTGCAGGCTGTTTCTGCTGCTAACAAGATCTAATGCTTATTTCTTTGCATGTTTTAATTTCCGCATATTTCTCCAAGAAGGAGAGCCCTGTGCTTTTTGTACATCCCAGTGTTTACAAGATGACGGGACACCACACTAAGTAGAAACTAGCTGGCCAATTTGGGGGAGGCGATCGTCAGGGGCTGCCCATTCCTTTCTCTGAGACAATTTGGATGGGAAGAGCTGGCGAGAAGGTTCATTCCCTCGGTTTTATGTATGTTGGCTTAAGTGAGTGTTTCCTTTGGCACCGTTTGATAATGTGGCCTCCAAGAGGGTCTAAAGCGGTGCCAGCCTCGGGTACGGAGAGGGCATAGTGGTACCTAGAAGAGGGGAACATCCTCCTGTCCAAGGATGGTTGCCTCTGGACCACAGCCCTCTTGTCAAAAATCTTTGGCTGAGCGGCTGCTGGCTCCCTGTCCCCTCTGAGCTTGAAGAAGCCCCCAGTCATTTACAAAGGGATCTGAACTCCCTGCGCCCTGATATGCGCGGGCATCCCACCAGCATCCTAAAGTGAAGCTGCTCAAAATAGACAAACCCCAGAGATAGCGGGAAGGACGAAGGGAGCCGGGAGAGTTGCGGCGAGCGCAGAGCGAGCCTCCTTACCTTTCCTCTTGGACCTCCTCCGCCGCCGCCGCTTGGACTTGCATTTGAGTTGATTACTTAGCCCTCCAGACCCTCTGCCGCTCCCCAGGACGGATGCCATGGCTGAGACCCAGTCGGGAGAACGGGAGAGGAGCTCCTCCTTAAGCAATTTCACCTTTCTCTCTCTGGCTGTCGCCGCCGAGGCGCTTCTGCCTCTGCAAATCGGAGCAGCAGGCTCACTTTTTAGGACCCAGAACTGAGCGCTCTCGCTACTTGTTCTCTGTCACTTGGTTCCAGCTGGGTGAGAGCTTCCGATGGGAGTCGGAGCGAGGAACCTCTCCTTGGGCAGGAAGCGCTGGGAAAGGTGCGCCCGCAGGTCCTGAGCGCCCCGGAGCTCTCCTCGGGCTGCCTCTTCATCTGGGCTCCCAACGCAGGGCTGCTACTTTTGCACCTCTGCTAGTTGTTTGGCACCAGCCACTTTGAAGCCAATCACGCAGGGAGCTTGTCTATTTGCTGCTGCAAAGTCTAATTAGATCCAATCACAACTGTCTCCTCGCTCTGACATCAGCAGCACCAGCCCCTCCGCCCCTGGCAGCTTGCAAACTCAGCTCCCATTTGGACGGATGGAGCTGCCCAGGACCTGGTAGAAGGAAAGAGGCTGCTCAGAGGGACCCACAACACAGGGCTGGTTTATCTGGGAGAAGCCTAAGGGGCGGTTTACAGGAGGGACCCTATCCTGGGATGACCAGGCTTCTTACTGCAGTCACTTGGAAGGCTCCCTGTGCTCAGAAAGAGGTAGAGACGTTTCTCTGACCTAACAGTTTCTAACTAGTTAATTCATTATAATGCTTGTTGTGTCGAGGGGGAAATAACTCTCAGAAATACGGAGACCTCACTTCCTCTGAAAGGGATTGAGATTTGCAATTCCCTGGGAGACAACCTCTTTAGGGATATTTATTTCTCAGAGACTGCGTTTCTATGTTTGCTAGTTTGGTTTGTTTATTGTCCCCTCCTCCCACCCCCCTTCATACCCCAGGGCTGTTCCCTTTGCAAAAGAAAAATACTGTGTAAAGACAGAGGTGTTAAGATCTGAGTCCGAATTTTACAGAGAGCGATTGATTTCATGTGTTGCTTTATTTAGGAAACAATGACATGAAAAGCAGACAGGGCTCTCATCGGATAGAGTTTTATTGCCAAATGTGACATTTGGATGAAAGAAAGTAGCATTTACGAGGAGGTGGATTGCAAATTGAAATAGTTTTATACAATTTATTTATTTTTTTCAGGGATATCCTAGATTTCAAGACTATACCCAGGGAACCATAAATCTCTAACATAAAATATAAGAAGGAATATAATCCAGCAATCATCATTGCATCATATTTAAATCACATGAACTATTAGTTGCAATAATGATAGTTTGAAAACCATGCACTCCAAAATTCATTAGCTTGCATTATCATGTTGATATGAATGGCACACAAATATTTCTATGCATACTGCTTTGTACAGTCTTTATAGGCCTAAACCTTTCCATGTAATTTTCCTTATATGGTGAGCTGACAGATCATAGCTCAGTTTTCACTAAAGAGAGGAGAGAGGAGAGAGAGAGAGAGAGAAAGTGAGAGAGAAAGAGAGAGACACACACACACACATACACACACACAGATAGATTTTTAAATACTGACTCTACTGCTATGATTTTGGGCAAGTTATTTAAACTATTCCTTGGGCTCCTCATCTGTAGAATGAGATTTAAAGCAGCACCAACTTCATAGGTTCATTCATACTTTTGAATTGGTAGAAACAGTAACTGGTATGTGTTAATCACTTCATAATTTTTTAGAAGTTGATTTAGCAAGTGATTTTGAAAGAATCTTACAGGTAGGCTTTAGAGAGGTAGGGTTTGTATGTTTTTCTTTTAGAAGGTTCTGATGTCTAGCTCATTGTAGGCCAATGACTTCAATCAAACCAATACCCTCTTTTGCACTGCATTCAACTCTTCCATCCCACCGCAATACAACTTAGTACTGCTGGTAATTTCTAGTGAATGTTGAAAAAGTATATGGCTTGCCTACTTAACTTACACTATGAAGAATATAATGCTTAAATATACCCAGAAATGCAGCTGTGGGACTCTGCCCTGGAAACTTCTGAGCTCTGTAAGGTATGCCTGCACTAATCCAGGGCTGCCCTACTTAGGTGTCTGCTTAAAACCCACCACGGTGTTGAGTCACCAAAGGAAGATGTTTCAGACAATACCGCAAGATTGGAATTATTAATGGCCCTCTCATGTCCCCATCATCACCCAAAGCAAAGATGCTGCCTCTGACATGAGTACATATTGACCTTTGTTTTATTAAGACAGTAGAGAGGGTAGGCAGAAAACAGAATGGTTAAGTTATATTTTCCTTCTGATTTTGGTGGGAAGGGGAATAAAACTGAAACCTGTATTTTGATGCTTAGTTTAGATCCTGATTTAAAAGTTAGTTACGGTCAAAGTCTTGGCAAATCTTCACTTTTCTTGAAGTTTGTAAATTTGTTAATTTACATATAATTTATGCAAGTTTTATTTTAACAGAGATATGTGGTTTTTTTTTCTTCATTTTATTTATTATGTTTGTGATAATGCAATTGCTTGAGATGATACAAGGGTGAGGGTAAGGTGACAAAAATGTGCATCTCTCACCCCAGGAGCAGAGGCTTTTAAAGACGTGGTTCACAATGACACATTTTTATACTCAACCATGGTTCCTAATAGGTTTCGTTTTGGTGTTGCAGACAGGGCTTAGAATGAGCAATGTTGATCATCTGCCATGCTTCTGATGAGCCTTTTTGCTTTTTTGTATGTTCCCTAGACCACTTCGGCACAGCTTGGCAGCCTGAAATGATGAACAGCAGTTGGACGAGGCATTAGGATCAGAAGCCAATATCACCCCGTTGCCCATCAGGAGATGTCGCTGACGTGTCCTAGACTAGTTTGAGCTCAGGCCCTGTTCTTCCCACAGAACAAAGAACTAGCAGTGAGGCTCCAAGGAGCCACTGGGCTGTCCAAAAAGCCAACTGCAGCCCAGTGTGAACCCAGCAGCTGGAAACCCGGATGAGGGATAGAAACTAGCCTTCAGCTGGGCTGGAGGGACAGTGCTGTCTCTGCAGTTTGTCATCATACCCAAGTGACACATTTGTGCCAAGGAAGGAGTGTTTACAACAAAGCCAGGTTGGGTCTCCCTGGTTGGGAGCACACCATGATATCCACCATTGTTCTTATCAGCCTTGGAATAGTCCAGCAACTTTCTATGATGCTTTTGCTTGTTTCTGTAATCTCTATCCCACACCAGCCCAGACCAGGTTTTTTATGCCCCTCACCACTGCACAGACGCTGAGCCTGGGGCATGAGTGCTTTCCAGGGTACCTCATAATATTTACCCCAGTGCCTGTTCTGCTCCAAGTACATCACAAAGTTCAAGTATGACAGTGATTCTCATTTAATTTCCACAAAACCTCTATGAGAGCAGAACTGAAATGATACTGATTTTGGAGATGAGAAGACTGAGGCTCAGAGAACTTAAGTAACTTCCTAAAAGTCACATGGACTATGATGAGTCAGGATTCACACTCAGGCCATTCTGACTTTACAGCATGGGAGGCATATCACTGTGCTCCACAGATTTTTATTCTAGAGCCTGAAATTAGCTAATTATATGAGTTTCTACAAGCCTTCACAAGATAGAGGAAAATAGTTTGAATGGTGACCCAGTGCTTCAGTAAGTTTATATATGTGTATATATTAAAAATTATATAAAATATAGAAATTTTATATATATATATATATATATATATATATATATATATATTCATTCACATGGCTTTGACTTCCACCATAACTGAATGCAACAATAGCTATGTCCCTTACCTGTATTCTAATGCTTAAGCACACAGAGTTATCTTTCTTTTCTCAAGATGTGTTTACAACATGGCCCCCCCTAACCATTGTTTTCCTGCTGAGGTCACCCAAGCTCTGAGTGCTTAATTCTAAACTCATGGTGCATTGAAAGATGGTGGCAGAACCATACTTGAGTAGAAGGCTCCAATGTAGTCCAAAAAGAATACTTACAAGAAATTCTATAAACTCCATAGAGTCACCTGAACTTTTATTTCTGCAAAAGAGAGACCTGAGGTCCACACACCAAGGGGCATATCCACCTAGACTGAATGAACATTTTAACCCTAATTCCAATTGTATTCCTTTTCTAGAGGGCTTTCATTTGGACTCCTTGATTTGTCCAAAACTATGTACTTATTCTGTAGAGTCCTAGTGGCTCATATAACTCACAATGACTTCAGTACTTAATTCATTATAAAATCTGCATTTCAAAAAGGCCAGTTTACATGTATGGCTAACTTGGTTTCTTTTTGATTCCTGAAAGCAAACAATAACACTGACTGACATAAACATCATTTATTTAGAATCAGAATTTTGGTTAATATTTCCTGCACCCATCAAATCACTTTACTAGATGGGAAATAGCACAGCAAAAGTGTCCCTGAAGATATTCGTGTTTGCTGATTCACTGTATCATAGCATATGACATTAAGTTATTACTTTTTACAAATAAAGGAATAGTATAAGAGAGCTTTTTTACTCTTTCATCTTCAGCCATTGTTTTTAAATTTAAATAACTCACATCAAAGAACTTGGATATGAGACCTGAAGTATTGCAAAATGGTATCTTGAGATAATATCTACAATATCAAATGCATTCTCATTCACATTCTCATGGAAGGGTATGGAAGAAGGCTGGTGAGCAGGGTGGGACAATGGAGAGGTCCTGGGGAGCAGAGAAGACTCTCAAATGTGAAAATACTCTTTGCAATGCTCTCACTAAAATTATTTTTCCCTTTGTTCTCCTATTATTTTTTCTGAGGCACGCCTATGGTTGGAGAACACCAAATGTATACTTAGCAATTTCCAGAGTGAGCACAGTGTGGATGAGATTTGCAAAATGTGTTTTTCAGAGTTCTACAGATGCTGATCAAGGCCACACAACAACAAGAAAAAGGAGATCCTGTGTAAAGTAATTTGGGCATGCAGGGATTTTATGGGTGAATATTACACCGATTTTAATTTCCCTATGTATACTTTCCATCCCCGAGAGAGAACTTACTTGAATGCTGTGCTAATATTTAAAAGGACA